CCACGGGGGCATTGGCTGCCTGCCGGGACAGGTGGGCATGTATCTCCTACGTTCCTACCTTTGCAGACCACTGTAGAGCCTCCCTTCCTCACCTTTAGCTTTTCTTTCCCCTGCTCTCCCCCCTGCCCTTTACCTTTTATTTTCGTAACTTTCACCTACTTACATTCTCACTGTCATCCTGTCACACTTAGCTTCTCTCATGCCTTGAAGTCTCAGAACAGCAGAGCCCAGGGGACTCCCTACGCCAGAAAAAGAGTGACTGCACCCGAAATCTTGCTAAGAACCTTTTTCCAGCTACTCTAGCTCTGATAAAAAAAATACCACATCTACCCAAAGAGCCTTGTCTGCCTTTGCAGAGGTCTTGAAATTGTTTGGATTCTAGTCTTTTCTGTTTTTTGCTTGTGGCATACAAGAGCTTTGCTTTGTGGTGGCTGAAATGCTTTGGTTCAGCTGAAGTCATTGGACTCAGAATAACAGTATCTTGCATGAAATGTCTATGATAGTATACAGGAAGCCAGGCTAGATAAACTAGTGGTTTCTGATAAAATAGTTTTAACATTTTTTTTTTTTTTAAATCAGCCTCTAATTAGCGAAACTAGTCCCTGCTGACAGTGTGACATGTAGTTGATTCCTGCTAATGTGATTAAAAAAAAAAATTCAGTATATGTACTGTCAGTGAAGGCTTTCACCTCTTATGCTATAAAATATCACTATAGGATTAAAAGCATTATTGGGGGCTGAGATATAAGGTGTTTAGGGAATAAATGGAGACGAGATCAGGGAGCAGACTTGCAGATTTTACAAAAGGAAGTAAAAGCGAGCTAAAATTTATCGGAAAATGTAACAGGATTGTTGGTTGTAGCCATGTTGGTCTAAGGATATAGGCAGACAAGGTTCTTTGGGTAAATCTGATATCTTTTATTAGACCAACTAAATAGTTGTGGAAAAAAATCATTTTTCCAACTATTTAGTTGGTCAAATAAAAGATACCAGATTTACCCAAAGAACCTTGTCTGTTGGAAAATGTAAGTGTTTGATGTAAGTGTAGCAGGAACTTGTCTCTGGCAGTTGATAACCTGAGAGCTGGAAATCTCATAGGATGTGAGGACCCACTGTGACCTGTTGTACATCTTTTGACTTCAGTTGGGTTGCAGTGGGATAGAATTTGATCTTTAGAGATTTGCAACAATGCAACAATGACTGGAATTAAACATAGTGAGAGGAGAGTGTCCCTAGGACATGTATTGAATTTTCTTTAGGAGATCAAGGAGAGAGAAAAATAAAGCTGCAATCAGAGTAGAACAAGCAGATGGAGCCTGAGAAGAAAAACAGGTTTTTAAGATTTATTTTACCCAAAGAAAATGAAACTACTTCACTGAAGCATGCTTGCGTGGGAATTCAGTACTGTCTTCTGGGTAAAACAGGATCTTTCATGTAGTTTAAAAGAAACTTCAAAGCTTTCTTTTCTGTTCCTAGAACAGAGCTTTACACCTGGAAGGAAAGGTGAAAAGATTAGAGATGTTTTGGAGCCTAAAACCTTTGTTATGAAACTTCAGTCTTATATTTTTATCAGTTATTTGGCGACCAGAATAAAAATGTATACCTCTTTTAAATGAAGACATTTTTCTTTACTGTTACTTTAAATGTTTTAAGAACAACCTCGCCAATTCATTCCTTAGTTCAGTTTGTTTTATAGCAAAATCCTTTTTTCCCTCCCACCCCTTTTAATTTGGCTGGTTGATTACTTTAAAGCTGTGCTTCTTACCCCTTTCCCCCCAAAGCCAGAATACAGAACAAGGAGAGAGGTCTGCGATTTTTTTTTAACGTACTCTTTTTCTGCTTTACAGTAGTGAAACTGAATTCAAATGTATGCATACAAGCAATATTTTGCAGATGGATTTTCTCTTTGGTGCCCTCAGTATTTGAATTTAAGAAGCTGTCTTTCAAAAAACTAATTCTGTGAATGAGTTTTCGTTTTCATTGCGTTGTGAATATCCATTTTCTACAGTTGGTTAGAAAATTCTGTTTTTGTTTCAAAAAGAAAATTCTCTTGTTAAAGTTTTGAGTCTTTGAAAAACCTTGACACTTTCCAAAGTGCATCTGGTATGTGGAAGGAATACACGATCTCCCCACCACACCCCCACCATTGGTCCAAAAAAACCCAACAAACCCAGAATTTTCTGTTGGCCCTTGTTTTTAGCCTTTTATAAAGATACAGTGCTCACTTCATGTTGTTAACATTAAAGCTGATCTGTTCTGACAATGTCTCTTTCTGGAAGATAAAACCAGCTGTCGTTTTCTAGGTTGATTGTATTTTTGGACTACCGGTCTTGGTAGCATACCTTTAAACATTGCCATGTGTCTGAGCAGCAACTTGAAAGAACCTTCCTGCCAGAACCTTAAATGAAAGTACTAGAATTACTTGTTGAAGATGGGCAGGCTGTTGGATATAGCATTTCCACTGTTACACACAGGCTATATTTGTGAAATCATCAGTACTTATGCACACTTTCTTTTCAAACAAAAGCCCAACAGCCTATGGCTGTGGAATGGATTCATAGTAACAGGTGTGGGGGAGCAATGTATTAGAGTTATTTCAGCATACGATATCATCAGTAGTGAAGTGTATGTGGTATGAGGTCTTTCATTGGCCAAAGACTAAACACCGGCAAGCAGTGAATATATTCTGTTTTTCATTGTAGGCGAGTTAATAGCCATCAGGTTTCAGAACTTTTTCTCTATGGTCTGAAGTTTAATTGTGTAATTTAATTGTGAAAAAATGCATCCAGAAAGATAATTGTGCAGAACTACATGATCTAGTGCAACTGTTTGCATCATATCTTTAATTGACAAAGTTTTAAGATGGCAGGCAATTCTAACTATACTTTGCAATATAAACAGAAAAATATTGAGACAGTCTTATCCCTGGTATATTGTCACTTAGTCTAGGGATGCATTTGGCTCACTTTATTTTCCTTTAGAGATTACAGAGGATATAGGAAGAGGGTTGTAAAAAGAGAGAAATGACATTTTGAAGTTCATTATTATTTTTAAATGCAAGCTCATACCATTCATTCAACATCTGGCTAGAAATACACATTTTACGACCAGCAGTGAAGTCTGAGCAACCAAAAAAAAAAAAAAGAACAATTACTTCAAGGATTCACTGGTGGTAATTTTAAATAATTTAAATCAGACTTGGTAAAAAAAACTTTTTAATATAGTGGATATTATACAAGGCAATTTTATCATTACACTCTGACCCCTGGTTAAAAGCTCTAGTAATTGAGTTTTCTGAAGACTGTTCAACCCTTAACTGTGTCCAAGAAGGCAAAAGAATTTATTAAGACTTCTTAATCTCTGATAATGGCAGTGTAGACTACGTCTAATGAAGAGTATATACTCTCCTAACTTTCAAATCCACTCCCTCCATAGATTTGCAGCTTTTATTTGTAAAGCAGTAGTAGATAAATGCCTCCACCAGAATTGTTGTCTTCTGTTCTGCTGCTACTCCTTTAGGGGAAATGTATTCAGTATTATCCATTGCTTTCTTAACATGTACAGGCTTATCCCTCAAATAAAGTAGATTGGGAAGGAAAATGTGATGCCTAGCAGAATAACTTTGTAGCATTGTACAATATATTAAGACTTGCTGTGGAGTTGCTTCAAAATGTTCAGTTGCCTTGTTTTTGTTCATCTGAATTCTGCGTAATGAATTACCTTAAGATGCTATAGAGTTATTTCATACTTTTTCCCATTGATCTTGATTTACACTTGTGGTTGAATGGGTATATTATCATAGATGTGTGTGTTGCACCACAGATTGTGCAACAAACAGTTATGGGACATGTAAGTTTACATTTATTTGAAAAAGCGTCACATTCTTCCGTGAGGTGGAATTACTGGGACCTACTGTTAGTGATGCCCAGTTCTGTCAATATTGCTAAATAAAGAAAAAAAATCCCTCTAATTGGGTTTGTGCCAGTGTCATTTTCTCTGATTTTGCCACCAGATTGATCAACAGTTCCTTCTTTCTAACTATCTTCTCTATTTTTCACTTAATTCTGTTTTGTTTTTCTTAAAACCTACTGGTACCTTATGACAATGTTTGGAAGATATTTATTTTGAGATACACTTTGGTTATCATTTATAAATGTTACAATTTTGTTACACTGTTTGCATACAAGTAGGTGTTTTTCCCTAGAAATTTATCCTCTGGATTTTACCATTTTACCTTTTCGATATAATTCTCTGCACATAGCATCATCTCCACCAGTGTTAATTATAATTTCACAAACAAGCTTGAACTTAGGTGAGGTCTTATATCCAAGTAAATCCCACACAGACCTTGCATGTACAGCAATCAGAATAGGAAGTATTAAGCAGAATTACCTGTTAATAGCTTTTTTCATTAATACCCTTTTGCTTCCTGTGGCTTGTAGATTTCACTGTGTGAAATAAATGTTCATCTTGCACAGATAAAAACAGTAAAGGCCCAGGGCCTCCAGAGAAAATGGTGAATGCAAAATAAATGCCTGGAGTAAATCTGTTTGGTTTTTTTTACATCTCCTCCTTATTTGCTTTTCCTGCCTCTGTCCATGTGTTTTCTGACTGCAGGTGTAAATGATGCAAATATTTTTCAAATTCAGTACTGATCTAAAGTAGCACTTCCATGGAGCCTCCATCTGGGTACCCTAGGTTGAATACAGCCCATTTTGTATGAGGAATATATGTGGGATTGTGGTTGAGCAGAAGTTGTATTTCAGGCTTAACATGGGCTACCTGCCAGCAGGCTGCAGTGGGAAAATACCAGATGTTAATGATCTAAAATTGTGAAAATGCCAAATTTGTAAAAAGGAGCCCAGGGTTTGGACAGATGAGAGATTAAAAATTAAAGTTGATCCTTACTGTAATAATGTTCTCATCCATAAATCTTCCAGTTTATTTTCTGTCCTCTACCAAACTCCTTCACAAATGTAATCTGACTTCATGTATTGCAGGCAGAAGCAACAAATTAACAACCTACATCAGAAGATAAGGGAGAATGAAATAAGAGCTCAGCGTGCCAGACTGAGCCATTTTGTGAATTGTGAAGAGTCTTTCATGACTAATTTACAGGTAGGATGGATATCTTTATTTTAGTGAAGTGTTGTGTTACAATTTAATTGAATGCCTCAGAAATACTCAATGGTATGTATGTTCAGATTTCACCAAGGGTCAAAAAGTAAAGTTACCACAAATGATTCATTGCCTATGAAGTTACATAATGGACGTACTTTGCATACTCTTTAGAATGTTTTATTAACATGAATGTTCCAAGTGACTGCAGAAATTTGGAGGCAGGAGAGGGGGAAGACATTGCCAGACATTTTTCAATTAAGTACTTTCTTAATAAATATATTAAGCTGAATTGTTCCAGTTGAATATATTTGAAACCTAAGGAAAGTGCATGTTGTGGAAGATGAGTTTAGGGGATGGTAGCAAAAGCTATCTGGCAGTGCAGGCTATAAAACAGGATGCAGGGAGTGGTTGCAGGGAGCTGAAAGAACTGCAGCACTTTGAATGAATAAAGGTGATATGGGAAGCCTTGAGGAGGTATTGTAGCAGTGAAAATGTGGCATCCTGGCATGTGCAAGTCTCCCCAGGTTCCTAGACAGGTACTCTGGTTGCTAACCTGGGCTGAAGCCTGTGATGTTGTGCCTTCATTATAGTTCATATCTGTGCTAACTGGATTAAACCCAAGTATAAGTAGACCTACATGTAGGTTTTGACCTTTGCACTGAAGGCTTAGCCATAGATGTACTGGAGTACTGTGTCCAGTTCTGGGCACCCCACTTCAAGAGGGATGTGGACAATATTGAGAGGGTCCAGAGGAGGGCCACCCGCATGATCCGGGGACAGCAGGGCAGACCCTACAATGAGAGGCTATGGGACCTGAACTTGTTCAGCCTTCACAAGAGAAGACTGAGGGGGGACCTTGTGACAGTCTATAAACTCACTAGGGGGGACCAGAAGGGTTTGGGGGAGACCTTGTTTCCCCTAGTGCCCCCCCGGGATAACAAGGAATAACGGCCACAAGTTGTTGGAGAGTAGGTTTAGATTAGACAGCCGTAAGAACTACTTCACAGTAAGGGTGGCTAGGATCTGGAACCAACTTCCAAGGGAAGTGGTGCTGGCTCTTATCGTGGGGGGTCTTTAAGAAGCAGCTTGATGCCTACCTGGCTGGGGTCAGTTGAGCCCAGTTTTCCTCCTGCCCAGGCAGGGGGTCGGACTTGAAGATCTACAAGGTCCCTTCTGACCCTACTTCTATGATGTAGCAGAAAAGGAGGCAAAATAGAAATTCTAAAGGCAAGTATATGAAGAAATTATTCTCCTGTGCTGTCCCTCTGCTATCACCTTAAACTTCTTGTCATTTAACGTTTAACCAGATCCTTAGCTCAGGTCCCTCAGCATAAGTCCCTCTATCAGCGGAGTCCAACATCCAGCCCATGGTACCATTCAGCCCGGGTACCTAGTGCAAGCTGGGGGGTGGGGCTAGGGTCAAGGCCTGCTATATAATTTGGGGCCCTGGGATGCCAACGGGTATGGCAGTGGGTAGGTTTGGGTGGAGAGAAGTTTTGGGGAGCAGTAGCTGTGTCCTGGATCAGGCCTGGGGTGGGCTTGACACCTTTGCTCTAGATCATTGGAAATATAGTAACAGATGCCAACTGAGGATCTGGCCTAGGGTGTATCTGATAGGGCTGTGCGAAGCTTCGGTATTGATTCTGAGAGATTTGCAGATTCGGAAGGCTTGCAGGAAACAGAAACTGAGAAGAGGGAGGGGGCTGGGGTGATCTTCCATATATGGAAAAGGCTGGAGGGGGGCGAAAGATTGCTCTGATAGCTGGCCAGAGACTGTGATCTTTCTCTGAATTCCCTTCCAATCACAGTGCTCTGGGGGAGGGACGTAGAAACAACATATCAAGCTGTGTCTGAAGTGATCTGTGCCTTTTGTGAGCAGTGCCTCTCTTGAACCAGTTGCATCTGAAAGGCTCTGGCTCACTATCTAGTCTCTTGCTAGCTAGTCTCTCTTCTTTTAAGTTGTATCCAATCCTTTCCTACTTACCCTTGCCTACAGTCCCTATTGGTATCCCTATCCATTCCTTTCAAATTATTCTTCCCTAGGCCTCCTCTTATTTGTTCTTGTTAGTCTGTCTTGATTCTTTCCCCCCACAAAAATAAATCTTTGTTTTCCCTGACAGTGTGTCATCACTGTGCAGGAAAGCACAACATCTATTACACACACACACACACACACACACACACACACACACATTTTGCAGCACACCAAACATTATGAAGCGTGCTGAAAAGGCAGGTGCCAGGTCTTCTGGCAGGGGAGGAAGAGGGGGCAGAGGGACACCCGAAACATAGTCGCACCCTCTTCCCTGGTAGCGATGAGTCTTCTGCTGCTAGTGGTAGCAAGTTAGTGGTAGCAGTGTCTGCACCTGCACCACCACCACTGTCCAGCAGTAGAGTGACATTCTCCACCCCAATTTCAGTTCCCAGCATGAGCCTTCCAGTGCCAGAGGCGAAGCTGTAACTGGAAAAAGAGGGGCTGAGGGCCATAGCAAAGGAAATTCTGGGGAAGGAGGGGGAATCTGAGTTTGTGCTCCACACCTCTCAAAGTTTCCCCTAGAGACAGGTCTCCTTCTCTAGAAGGCACTGCGGAGGAGGTTGTGGGGGCAGGTGACTCAGCTGCTCCTGTTGTTATGCCTCTGCCTGGTGAGGAGGAGAATAAGGCATGATCCCCATCCTCAACCCAGAAGCGGGTGGGTAGTGTAGTGTAGTGTGAGGTCCTTTTGATGTGGCAGATGATCCCAGAAATGTTACCTGCCAGCACTGCTGAAGGCAGATCAGCCCGGGGCAAGGACGTGAAACACTTCCCCACCACAGCGATGCTGCTGCATCTCAGAAGGCAGCACCTCCATGCCCTTGTTCCTCCTCATCCTGACACCAGTGGGAGCATGCCCCAAAAGAACCCCCCCTCTCACTCCAAAGCCCTTGTCCCCAAGAAGCAGAGGCAGGCCACCCTGGACCAGTGGGGGAAAAGCGGAGACAAAGTGGAGTGCATTCCGAAGGCGAGCAAGGTCACCCTGAGCATTGGGGAGATGCTTGCTCTGGATGGCCAGCCCTTCTCCTTAGTTGAGCATCCAGGATTTAGGCAGCTCATGGCACTCATGGCCCCATTGTATCAAGTGCCCGCATGCACCACTGTTAGCCTGTGAGGCAAACAGGGAGTACTTGAGGGAGGAGCTGCAGAAGGCAGTGCCGCAGGTAGCCTTGCACTTCACCTCAGACATCTGGAGCAGCTAGGGTGGAGATCATGCCTACCTGTCCCTCACAGGGCACTGGTGTGATCAGTCAGGGCGTCGGTGGGCTCTCCTTCAAGCAGAGGTGATGGATGGGTTCCATATGGCAAGGAAGATCATAGTGGCCATAAACCGCGTGGTGCAGGGGTGGCTCATTGGGTAGGGCGAGTTTACCCCCTGGTCCATGGTCACCGACAACAGCGCCAATATGGTCAAGGCAATCCATGATCTGCTGTGTAGCACACAAGTTCCACCTTGTAGTGAGGGACACCTTGGAGGGGGACAGGGCTCCCAGTGACGGCGCCATCACTACCAGCCAGCTTATTTCGAAATGCAGGAAGGTGGCAGGCTACTTTCACCGCAGCATGAAGGGGGGGCAAGATGCTGCAGGATGTGGAGACTTGGTGGAACTCCACGTACCTGAGGCTGGTCGAGCAACAGAAGGCCATCTATGAGATGGCATTGGTCAGGGAAATTGGGATCAGTAGCCCCCTTAACAAAACAGAGTGGGATATCTTCTCCCTGATCTTGGTGGTCCTCAAGCCATTCCTCAAGGCCACTGAGAGCCTCTGCGCTGGCAATGCCCTCTGTAGCCAGGTGACCCCTATAGTGAAGTAGCTTGAGAATGAAATGGAGAAGTTCCAGGGTATCAATGTTCCTGGTTGGGGCAAGCCACTTTCACCAGAGGTGCAAGCACTGGTGAAGCAGGGTGAAGGAGGGCATCAAAAACGGCTGGATCCGTTGCAGTCCAGTATGGTCCACATGCTGGCGGGCATGTGTGACCTGAGGGTAAAGGGGAGCTTCTGCAGCAGTAAAACGCTCGATCGCTGAACAGAGGTGCTGGTGAGCAGAGTCAAGGAGGCAGAAAGGCAGAGGCAGGAGGACGTGGAAGAGGGGGATCCACTTTCCTGTGCCAGCACTCCAACCATGAGCCAATCTCCTCCATCACCAATGTAGGCCAAGGGCATGGCTTTAATGTTGGGGTCCAGAGGCACCGGACCCCACCATCAGGCAGGTAGTGCGGGGGCCTTGGTGACTACCTATCTCGCTGAGGATGTGGAGCCGCTGCACTGCCACCCTTCGCCTATTGGGCAACCCGTAGCCAAGTGTGGCAGGATCTGGCCACGGTTGCCCAGGAACACCTGTCCTGTCCACCGACCAGTGTTCCAAGTGAGAGAGGGTTCAGCATTGCTGGTTATGTTGTGACACCTCACCATACCTCCCTGGGTCCTGGTCTGGTGGAGCGGCTGGTGTTCTTCAAGGTGAACCTCCTGAGGTTCCCCAAGTTCCGCGTGCAGACAGAGTGCCACCCTCCTCACTCTGCACCTTTTTGCTTTTTTTTAATTTGCTTTCAGAACCTTGAGGTGCACTTTCACAGAAACTCCTCCACAACTCTGCCTGAAATCCGGCAGGCCTCATGCCCGCATGAGGGGCTACCATCCCTGCTGCTTTCATCGTGCTGTGCCGTAATGCACACAAGTGATACGAGTTTTGCTTTTAACGGTTTGAGGGGCACTTTCACAGAAACCCCTGCACCTATCTCCTTCAAACTTGGCAGGCTTCATGCCCTCAGAAGGGGCTACTATCCCTGCTGTTTTCATCCAAATCTGCAAAAAACAAAATGACCAAGTTATAGGTATTTTAGTGATTCCCCATTATAGTCTATGGCTGAATCTCTGAATCAAATCACTGTCTCTCTGAATCAGCCGAATCTGAATCAAATACTTGCTGCTTCACACAGGCCTAATATCTGAACCCACAGGAAGAAAACTTTGAATGCCAGTCATCTGCTCTGCAGCACATGTTACTCTTTGACTTTTGAGTATGTCTGTAATAAATGTGCATTGGGTCAAATGGAAACATAGTGCAGCATTAACTATTTTTAAGCACATATGGAAGGTATAGAAAACTCTTCCAACACATAAACCTAATAATTTTAGTGTATATTAGTTCCTCTTAGGGATTGGGTGAATGAGACTGTTTCTGAAAGAATAAAGTATTGGTGTATCTTTTAAATATAAGTGTCAGTTTCCAGCTCCCTTCCCCCTCCCCCCCCAATTGCAACCTGAAATCATTGACATATGTAATAATGCATATTAATTAAATGTATTGTAAATACATGAAGCTTTTCATGATTTAATTGTATTTTAAAACCAGTCTTTGAGATTCAGCTTTAAGTTTTTTATTCATTCTCTGCTACTGGAGATTTTCTTAATGGCATTCCTCATAGATGGTTTTAATCCCTATAAATGTTAAATGATTTGCAGTATTTTGTCTGTCTTGCTTAAGGGGCATTATCAGTTCAAAATTCATCTTTTCAAGTATGTCAGATGGCCTTTTAAACTTCTCTGTCAGATTATTGCAAGAGAGGCTTTTTTCTTTCTTAAACTCCCAATACTTTTTGCCACTCCTGCAATCCCACGCTGTTCTCACCATGAACAATGAAAAATTATTTTCACTCTTATGATTTGGGAAGGCAACCTGCTTCAACTGACAGGGTACAAGAGAAGAAGCTTCACATCTAGTCTTACCTCTGCCACTTGGCAACATCTTGGGCAAGTTGCTTTGTTTCTCTTTACTTCAGTTTCACCATTAATTGTATATAGATCATAATGCCTACCCCTTCATAAAACTGAAGAGAGCTAAGAATCGCAACATTGTGTTCATAACCACCTGGTTTAGGTGGTTCTGAACAAAAGGTTCAAGTGGCTATACTGCTGCAGTGGGATAATGATTTAGTTTGGAAACACTGCAGAATTGTTTGCTCTCGCAAAGGAAATCTAATTTGGTCCCACAGGCTGTATCCAGATGAGTGCCAATGTCTGCTATGTGGTGCTGCAGACCCGTCTGTGGTGCCACGCACCACACATGCAGGTGTTCCCTGTGCTGCTACCTGCTACCTTTTTCTTCTTTACAAAATACCATTTCTAGAAATGACTGTGGTGGTATCTTTTGTTCTGATGCTTAGAAATAATGCACAGATATCAGCTGAAATGTGTCCCACTGTTTTGGCTTGTAAAAAGTATACTGCAGCATTAAGGGTCTTTTTGTTTTTTGTTGTTTTTTTTTTAAAGCAGTTTATTTCCATGTGCAATCTCTGTTGTGCTATCTCTCATCACAAAACATTTTATAACATATGTGCTATTCTTTTTGCAAGACTACTGGTTTGTTTTCCAGCCTACTAAGTAAGAGGGTTTCCCATTTTTTTTTCTTCCTGTCTCCTTTAGAAGCCATCTGGTAATTTCAAGCTAATGCGAGCTGCACTTTAACTCTCCTTTTTTTCTCTCTCTCTTTATAAGCAACCACAATATGAGAGCACATCACTGCAACCTCAGTTTTCGGAAAGATCAGTATCCCACTGTGAGGCGTTTGAGCGAAAGCTTGCAGCAGTTGAGACTAAAGAATTGCAACTCAATGAGTACGTTAAACAACTTTCAAACAAATCTAGTGAGGATAAAAAGAAGATGGAAGAGAAAGTAAGTGGTTTTCACATTTAACTTCTGTGACACTGGGCACTTTTACATGTGCTCTGGGGGTGGGGAGGGGACAGCTCTTTAATTAGAGCGGCTCTGAGAGCCACTGTAATTAAAGCGCTGCCACGTCTCATGTATCAGCGTCCCTGCACTTAAAATGGCACTTGAATGAAAGCTCATTTGACAAGCTTTAGTTTAAGTGATCTACCACCATTTTTAAGCACAGAGATGCTGATATGCATGACACAGGAGGCTGGTAGTGTGTGGCAATTGCCACGCTCCAGCAGCCTCAACTAATCATGTCTGCTCTGATGTGCTGGAATTCCAGTGTGTCGGAGCAGCCTTGGCACTCATGTATAGGTGCCCTGTGATAGCAACAAACATAAAGTGATGCTAGAAGCAGCTGCCCCAGGTACCAGTCTAGAGCAGTACGCTTGTAACCACATGCTGAAATTTTAATTTCTGTTCATTTAATTTGTTGAACAGGTTCCCTTAAGAGAGAGGTACATGCTGCTCCTCTCCTTCTAGCCTGGAGTACTTGAGGGAGAAGGTGCAGAGTATGACTTCAGGGGAGACTGAGGAGACATGGAAGGCCATGTAATCAGTGTCCTGAAAATGATGGGCATTGCAGTAGGCTTGTCCATGACTCGAACCTTCTCTGGAAAAAGAGAAGTGTTAGCGTCTCTTCAGGATGGGATGCTCTGTCAGTTTTTGCTCCCAGAAAAATAAGAGATTTTTGTCAAAAGTAATCTAAAAGTTTTTCTAGCGTGTGTCTACAGCCGTCTGGCAGCCCCGAGGCTCCTGGCTTGAAAAACTGTACCTGGAGAAAAATATTATCTGCTAAACTCTTTTAGAACTGTTATTGGGTTCTGATCTGGCCAGTGGCGTACACGTATTTTCAGCAAGATGAATGTCCCTAGCACCCCACACAGAAATGTCAGTTACATTTAAAACATACAGTTCACATTTATCAGTAGTGCCGGTGTTTCTTACCTGGTAAGTTGCTTGGTTTCTGGGTCTGAACAGCACAGATATAATTTTTATTAAATCACATTCTGAATGAAAAGAGGTTTGGGGTGTGTTTGTATTAAGTCCTGTTAATAAAGCAAGTGCCAGGAATGCATGGTCATGCTGGGATTGGTCATAAGACATAACAAAGAGAATCTTTTTCAGGCTGTTGGTGAATAAAGATTGGTTTAGGAAAGCTGCCTTGAACAAAGCAGCTATTTCATTGAGATGTCCTCTTGTATAGTTGTCAGATTCCATCAAGGTTGAATCTCTGTCTGAGATTCCTATTGGGTTAAGTCTTTGTAGTTATGTATTTGAAACTGTTTTCTTATTCCTGTAGCAGATGCACAAAATAATATTCTAAAACAAACAGGGTAACTTTCCTGAGAAGATATTATCTGGCTACCTCTTTTTAGTGTGTATGTTTAATAATATGAGAACCAAAGAAAAATCTTTGTAAGAAGAATCATAAGATTGCCATAGGACATGACACTACAAGTGATTTGGATCCCAGTAGTGGCCCAGTAGGTAAAGCACAACACTGGGGCCTGGAAGGCCTTGGTTCTGTTCTGTGGCCACTGGCCTGATCGATGACTGGGAGCAAGCTGAGTCACCACTCTGCACCTCAGTTTCCTTGTCTCTGAAATGGAGGTAATGGTACTGAATTCCTTTTTAAAGTGCTTTGATGGAACGCACTTATGTGAGCGCTAGATAGTTACTTTATCACACACAGTCACCAGCTGGATTAGGACCCTACTAATAGGCACATCATGAGAAAGATTTTGTGCCCAAAACAAGCAGAGTGAGAGAAAAAGTGACAATGTTACACAGCCAGTTAGTGGAAGTGAGAGTAGAGCAAAACCCTGACTACCAGTCTTCTCTCTGTCCAGTATAGCTGTTGGCCAAATTGCATGGCTTCAACCCATAGTAGTTACTTAAGATGTTTTGAATTAAATATTTAAAGTAATTTAATAAAAAGGCAGGGTCATATATATTAAAGGCTAATGTGCCACAATTCAAAGAATACTAACCTAAACTTGGAAAAATATACCAGTTTCTAATATGAACTTAGAAAGAGATACCTGAGTCCCCTTTCCTGAGTAGCAGTAGAAACAGAACTTGTAGTTTTACTGCCTTGGGGAAGGCACTTTTGCCCTAGTCCAAGAAACAGTTCTTTGCTACTGATTTTTGTCTCCAGAGTCCCGTGAAGTGTAGCAGCCAAGTGCATACTCATTTACAGAAGAGCTGTTTCTAGCACTTTTTGGATACTTCTACAGTCAGAATTAAAAATTAAAAGTTTAAATAAGCATTTTCAACTCCCAAGACATGGGAGGTAAAAAAACAAAACAAAACTGGCTTCAGATGCTTCAAGACTGCATACTTATTTAAACATCATTGAATTCAAGCAAAATAAATGACCATTTCATTTCATTTTCTGTAATAGTTAACCCTTACTTCTGGCTTGGAATATAGCTTTGTAGATCAGCTGGCTTTGAGGCTTGTGACACTGATTTCCAGATTATCCTATACAGATATTTTCTGTCATAATCAAAATATGTAATTTTCTTCCCTTTTAGCTTAAAACTAGAGACAGATACATAAATAGCCTGAAAAAGAAATGCCAGAAAGAGTCAGAACAAAACAAAGAGAAACAGAGGCGAATTGAAACCTTAGAAAAATATTTGGCTGACCTGCCAACCCTGGATGACATAGAAAGTCAGAGTAAGCAGGTAAGCAGAGTTTTCTGGTTGTAATACTACTTAAGATGTACAGATTTAAAAATATTCCATGACATCCATTGTTGATTGTTTTGTAGTTCCTCTTGCTTTCATTTCAATGTGTATCACTATTTTTGTTACTTGGTTAGAGATAGAACTATTTTAAATCTTAAAAAATGCTTTTACAGTGTAACAAGGATATTTATAGTGAAGTTAAGTGCACAATAGTTGAAAATTTAGTGATGAGACTGATGTGTAGTCAGAAGATAACTGTAAAGCTGGGGCTTATAGGAAGCATTTTTAATATAAAATGTATCATTTATGTCTGACTGTCTGATATCATGCTTTAGCTGGAAATTCTGGAAGAGAAGAACAAGCAGCTCCAAGAAACAGTGGCGGATTTGGAGAAGAAGCTTGGAGAAGCTAGAGCACAATGCAGGGAAAAAGAGCTGCAACTAGTGTGTCAGAAAAAAAAAGAAAAAGAATTGGTTTCAACAGTACAGAGGTATGAATACCTACTTGAATGGCACCCTAGGAATGGTTTAGAGCAGTGGTTTTCAACTGTTTTTTTGGAATGGGACCCATTTGTAAACTTTGGCCAGTCCCGACCCAGTAAATAGTTTAAGTAGAAAACAGCCCCCTAGCTCTGCTGATGCTGCTCACTCCCAACCCACAGCCCCCAGGCCTCAGTGTGTGGGGCTGGGGGTGTTTAGGTGGCAAGGAGGGGCACATGCACCCCGAGATTTGTGCGGGAACAGAGCTGCAGCCTGTAGCCAGGCCTTTGGGATGCACAGGCTCCGCACTGCAATCCAAATCACCTGTAGTATCATGTTGCCTGGCCTCTTATTCCTGCCCCCTGTGATGGGGCTCATGAAAGAGCTTTGCAGAATAACTGATGTCACCAAATCGCTCCTACCCTAGGAGAACGTTCTCTGGTCTCCTGCAGCTCATTCCAAGTCCATGCATGTCAGCACTTACCCCGCTTCACCATTCTTCACATAAATGCCTTTTATTACTGTGACAATCCTGCTTTCTAATTTAGAAACCAGAGACCACTTCAACTAGTCCTAGGCTTTCAGGGAAGATTAAATGATCCCCTGTAGATTACACAGGCACAAATAAAAAGGTGTATCCGTTGTAAACTGGAAACAATGTGCCCAATGATCTGACTGGCTAGATGTCCCAATCAGCTAGCCTTTCATCATGGAAACACTTTTAGGCAGCTGTCCTGGGGCGCACGGCCAAGCCAGTGAGGGGCACTGAACTGAAGTGACACCCACCAGAAATGAGTGAAAATGATCCTCGTTTTCATAGCCTCTCTTTTTTACTCTTTACCACACATCACTGCAAATTACATTTTCTCCCTATTATTTTTAACGTAAGCTTTTAAGTGGCACTAGGAATCTAACCTACATCATGACAGCATTGTCAGTAATCCAGCTGGAATTTTTCCATGGAAATGTGTCCCATTTGTTCTTTTACAAGCATGTAAGGTCAATGCCAGGGCACCAGCTGCAGATAAATTTCCCAGGAAAACATCCTCCATTGTCTGTGACAAAAGGTAGGAGATGGAGTTGGGACTTTGAAGTATCTCTGTGGTTTGGCTTACCCTTCAGCCAGTATCAGCTGAGCTTCCTCCTACCACCTAAAGTCACTTATTCTCTCAGACTACTAAGAGTCTGTAAACAATGCTCCTTTGCTGTGCACATTTCTTTTTTTCCAATCCTCCTCCCACCTCGGTGGCAATAAGCCAGGATGCCAGCTCTGCCATGCCCATGTCTTAAAGACAGTGGTGAAGTTATGACAGCAGGAAAGGGGCTGCCTTTATTGTTCGTAACCAGGGGTCTGTCCGGGTTTCCTGTTTTTCGCAGACAAAAGCAGATTTTCTCTTTAAAAGGAGAAAAAAGTAGACTTTCTCCTTTAAAGAAGAAAAACGCGGGACACTGTGGTTTCCCTTTGCAGGCTGGCAGAGTTCCAGCCTGCAAGGGGCTGCTTGGGTCTGGGGGGGGGCAGGGGGCAGTATTTGCAGGTGGCAGCCAGGCAGCAGTAGAGAGTAGCTCCCGCTAGGTAAGTCAGGGGAAGGGTGGGGAGAGGGGTACAGGCAAAGCATCTGGGGAGGTGGAGGTGCACAGGCCATATGGAGGGGACGGGACGCAGGTGATGTGGAGCAGGCATGTGCCCCACCAGATTTCTGCTCCTACAGTGGGGTTGTGGGGCTGTAGCCAGGCCATGGCAGCACGGTCTGCGCCGGGTCCCACCCACTGGGCTGCAGAGGTGGTTCCTGCCTGGAGCTGGTCCAGCCTGGCTGCAGCCCTGAACTGCACTGAGGCAGAGATTTCAAGCCATCCATCAAACTCTGTGTAACAAGTATGATCTAAACCAGCGTTTCTCAAGCTGTGGGTTGCAACCCAAAAGTGGGTCACAAGAATATATGAAAGGGTCACAAACAAACTTTAAAAATGGATTCTCCTTTAAAGGAGAAAAGCATGGGAAACCACAGGTTTCCCCTTGCAAGTTGGCAGAGACCTGGCTACAGTTCTTTCAAGTCAAAGCAATCCTCAACGCTACTTTGACCTTTGCTAGGGCTGTTTAGGGGTCCCCCAAGCAGCTGAGAATCCAAGTAGCACACAGGTTTGTTCCTCACCTGCTGGACCAAACCTGAGCAGAGTGTCCTGGGAGACACAGCACAGAATCTGGTCTGGGAATTATTTTAGAACTAAGGAATACAATATTTGCAAAGGTGTCTATATAGGACATGTAGCAAAGCCTCTCCTTTGTATTCAGGTGATTATTCTTGTCAGTGACACAGTAATTCCAGGGATTTTAGGATTTTACACTACTCGTCCTCCAGTCTGTTTGCTCGGACTGAGGCTGGACTGTGGGCCTACAATCTCGGTGGGTGTGATGATAAACCAGGTGATAGTGATTGTGTATATTTTCCTCTAGAACATATTTCAGTTTTAGTGCTTTGCTCCTCCCCCAAATGATTCACTAGTATCTCTTGCATCTTGCATTCTCAATTGCAGTTTGCAGCAAAAAGTAGAAAAATGCCTGGAAGATGGTATTCGTCTCCCCATGTTGGACACAAAACAGCTGCAGAGTGAAAATGAATGCTTCCGAGAAGAGAATGAGAAAGCCAGTAAGGTAGTACATGGAACTGATTACAGAAGCTATTGGTATCATCTGTACCCCTGAAGCCTTGTATCTTGCTGTGTTGTTTGTTTTATTTATCGCTCACTTAGGATTTATTTCATGTTTATTGCTAATTGAGGTTTCCCTTCCACACATGCTTCTGTGGTCAAGGCTTTTGTTTTGCATTAATTTTCAGTTGCTTAAAAGAAGTGAGCTTCAATTCAAACGTAATATAGACATTAAGTTTTGAAGAAGAAACTTACTTGGCTAATTGTGATCAATTGAGCAGTTAGTGGTTTCATGATAGGAACTGCCATGTAGGTGCAAAGTATTTCTCATTTAGGCCTTTTAGGGGATGCAATTTGAGATATGTGCTTGATATTAGAAAATAGTTGCATCAGAATTTATGGAAAAACAGTCACTTAAAACTAATATAGAATCAGACTTTTTTGAATGTGATGCTCATTTGTTTTCTTCTTGATAGGTTATAGACAATCAACAACATCAGATAGCTGGGCTGATTTTAGAAATTCAGGTAAGGAAATTATGTATTCTGTCATTTGCTTTATCACTGTTTCATTGAAGGCTTAGCTGTCATGTTTTAGCTTCCACTTACTGCAGGACAAGAGCATGCACATAGACAGTCATTTTGGTACATCTGATTCATAGTAAGACCCTTGCCCACTTTACCACACTGTAGATTTTCCTGTGTCCGTACCTTTAGTTTATTTAGTCTCTCCTTATATTGGATATATACCAAATATTTTGGTAGGAAAGCTTAAGCAAGAAATGCAAAAATGGCAAGTAATATCTGCTTAGGCTAATAACTTCATAACTGAATTTGGATTTCAGGTGTGAGCAAGGGGGAAGTCTCTGTTTTATGAAATGCTGTAATTCAAAGTCTAGCATTTGATATATTTTCACTAAGGGGGGAAAAATAGATTCTTAGCACTTAGTAGGAGCAAGTTAGAGATGTAGCCAGCTCTCATATAGCTACCTTATTATGCTGATGGTCTAAAGTAGGGGTGCTTGAGCCCTGGCTATAGTCCAGATCTGGCCCACAGCTCACAGAATTCGTTATGGGTTGGGAAATCTGAAAGCAGGGGAACAGTGGCAACCAATACTGCTGCCGTGCAGCCCTCCCCTGTCCCTTCACCCCTCAACTGCCAAATTCCCAAGCCCCATGCAGCCAGGTTGGAGCCAGGCTACACCCCCTCCTCCTTGTCCTGCACACTGGATCTGGCCTATGGATGGACTGGATATCACTTATCTGACCTGCACACCAGTGATGTAAAGGATATTTCATCAGTGGTGTGCCAAGCTGTTTGTTACATTTGGCTCTGTGAGTAAGACTGTACGTTCTTTAGCAATAAGTCAAGTAGCAGGCACAAATTGCAGGCCCCCAAGAGAGAGAAATACACATTTGCTCCCTAAATAGGTAATTCCTGGTGCATATATGCTGAGACATCAGCATTTGCTCTAACTCTATCTTCAGTGGATGGAAGTCTAATAGGCAAAGACTTAAAATTAAAGGTGTTATTGATCAGTTGCTATAGTGTGAGTTAACTAACATCTACTACCGAAGCATCTATCAATCATCTATTTTAGTAAAAATGGATACATCTAGATGTATAGTTAGTGTGATGTGATTAACTCAGGCACAGTTTATGTTGGAGAAGACTGCTCCAAGCACAGTGTCTGCCTCAAAGCAGCACTTTGAGCTGGGACAGAGCAGCCCAGGGCTGGCAGAGGTGTCCACGGGGTCAGCCCTGGGTTCCAGATGGCAGCAGCGGAGGGGCTGGCTGGGGCACGAGGGTGCTACAGGGCAGAGCTAGGCAGCAGGCAGGCTCCATACTGTAGCACCCTCGTGCCCCAGCCAGCCCCTGTTGCCATCTACATGTGCGTTTCAGTGAAGTAAATTTCTCTGCTGTACAATAGTACTGTCCTCAACAATACTATCCTATGGTGGAGTTAGTTAATTACTGCACCCTAATATCGGTGCACGTGTAGACTGTGATACTTTATTGCAGAGCTAATTAGTCAACTCCACAGTAAAGCGCACATGTAGATACATCCACTGAGGAGCTTTATCCTTCACGTTGACGGAAAGTGGAATGGTTCCTTCTGAGTTAAGCTGTCACCGGGTGTTTATTTCCTTGATCTCTCCAGTGTCCCAGAAGCGGTGACCTCCTCATTTCATCTGCTATACTGCTCAGCAGCAGAGAATCAGCAATTGTTGCTAAAGATGCTGGGACTTCTATGATGAGTGGAATGGCAGCACCAGTAGCTATAAGCTCTGCTTTATTTGTTGGTATTAAAGCCAACATTGCCCTAATGTGTGTTAGCACCAGCAACTGTTTCATTTGTATTGCTGGTGCTTGGTCTTTGTGTGCACTGCTAACCTATTTGCCTATTTTTGCACAATTTTCAGTGCAGTATCTTTCTACAATTAAGAAAACAGACTGGAGTAAAGGAAAGCCTTCTATATCTGACCCTGGGGCCAGTGAATCAGGCACCTTGTCCTACTGCTGTTAGCTGCAGTTGAACAATGGATTCTGTGCTCTGACATGACCAGAATTCTGTTCCAGCTCTACTTATAAGGGGAGTTAAACAGGGGAAAATTTTCTTACCGGTGTATGAAAGAGAGCAGTCTGGTTTATTATCTCCAGGGATCCTGGTTTTCTCTGATAAAAAAAAAAATTGCAAATTCTCTGATTAAAACCCCCAAATCCACAATTAAAATGAAATGCGTGTGTGTGTGTGTGTAGGTATCAATTGGACACAATGTTTTATTGCTACATTTACAATTTTAAACAATTTGGAAGCTTACCAATGCCTCAATCACTGTGGTCAAATAAATGTGAAGTACATATAAATTTTGGTATTTGATTTTAGGCTTTTTATTATGGAAAATCAGAGCTCCCCCCTGCCCCCTTAGCTCACAGAACTCGGGTCCAGGCCCCTCACTCCCAAGCCAAGGCTCCCTAGCCCTGCTGATGCCCCTCACTCCTCCCACGCAACCCTCTGGCCCTGTTGGTGCCCCTTGCCTCCCTCCCACAGCCCCCTGCCACAGACAGCCTCCAGCTGCCAGGGCTACGGAGCCACTGACCTGGGTCTGCAGCCCCCTGCCCCCCGCAGCAGCACCCGAGCCTCAGCATAGTTGAGCCCAGCTTCCCCCACCCTGTGAAGCATGGTTAGAGCAGAGCCCATGGGGCAGGTGCAGGCTTGGGCAGTGGGGACTGGCTCCCTGCCTCTGTACACCCTCCTGGGGGAGGACAGGGGGGCCCTGTGCCCTCCAGATCTGTGCCCAGGGTGGGGGCATGTGCAGGGGTAGGCTGCCTGCTTCAGTTTTAGGCTCCCTGCCCTGCTGCCCTCTCCCGGGGCCTCAGCAGTCCAGCACAGCAGGGCAGAGTGGGAAGGACAGAAGGGCTGGGGGGGGAGCTCCATGCTGCTGCAAGCCCCGCACTGCCCTGGTGATGCATCCCCTGCCTGCCCTGCAGCAGCAAGGGGCAGAAGCCTGCACCACTGCCTCTGCTGGGAGGGCAGTGGGGCAGGGAGTCCAAGACCACAGTGGGCAGGCCACATCTGCCCCAAGCACAGATGTGGGAGGGGGCATGTGACCCTCTGCCCCACCCCCGGCCAGGAGTCCAAGCAGTGGCAGGGAGCCAGCCCCCAACCACCGGATGAGCTGCCCATGGCTCTGTCCTGCTCCCTGCCAGGGCCCTGCAGCCATGCGTTCCTGCCCCAGGCCTCAAGTACTGCCTGGCTGGGCAGCAGCCTCAGCCCCACCACCAGGCTTACCACAGGAGCTGCTCTCTAGGCTACCTGTCAGCCATCATGGCATCCCCTGCCTGACCACCCTCTTCCTGCTCCCCAGAGCCCCTTGCAGGCTGGAACTCTGCCAACTTGCAGAGAGCCCTTTGCAGAACTGCAAAATCTGCACGTTTCCCCATTAAAATGAAGAATCCACATTTTTTTTTCAGATAAAAGAGGAAATTCATGTTTTTTTTCTGTTTTTCCATGGGAAATGGAAAACCTGGATCCCTTATCTTTTCTCATGTGATTGGAGCCAGGGTTAGTTCGGGTTATCGGACTGTTTCTGAGGATTCCTTTCTGAAATGTCTGACTCTCCATGCACTTTATAGGGAGCCTGTGTATCTAATTTGGAGCTGAGGATTTCTCCAGGTAGCAGAGCTAGAATACATGGGCTTTGAACAGCACCTGTGGCACCTCTTCTCTGGCTTTTTTCCCTCTAAGCAGAGGCAAGAGCCACGCTAGTAAATCCATCCTATTCTTTGCCTGGTTTCTCACCAAGTAGGAAAGGTGTCACAAAGCTAGGCTGTTTGGCCTGTGCAGGTTATGTTCTTGCACAAGCTCACAACATCTGTCTCTTCTCTTCTGCCTTCTTCATTGGGAGCACGCTGGTTCTTTTGTGACTGGGCTTTCTCTGCCTGTAGGACAAGCAGGACTACCTCATACTGAACGTGCCCTTTTGATGCCCCTCTCTCCCATACATGCAAGTATGGGAAGCCTGGTATTTGGTAAACAACCATGTCCTTACATATTTAAACTACAGTATATTAAATGCAGCAGTTGGAAAGCTCATGAAGAAATTCATTTACAGCACTACACATTGGTGTACTGGAAAGCAAAACCAATAATTTAAGCTTCTGGGATTCCTCGGAAAGTACCATTTATCAAGTTCGGGAATGCTTTAGTGTGCAATTGTTCTTGGGACCTTTCATGAATTTTAAAACTTTAACAAGATTGGAGTCCACAGACTCTTCCAGGTCTCTTCTCCCCTTTCTATAGCTTATTATCTTCCCAGCAGAACTATACAACTCACATATTTTCCCCAAGCAGTCAAGATTGTGACATTCTCTACAAATATTTCTTTTCAAATATTATGATGTTATTTTTTTCCTGGCCTTTCTTGTGTTCCTTATATTTTGCCTGTGTCTAATTTAAATTTGGTTTCTGAAGCATGGCACAGTATTTGTGTAGATTTGTAGAGCAGGTTTCACTGTGCAGTTAGGGTCTGATATGCCTCATTTGTATCGAATAGTGAGCCAGGCTGTGAAATTCCTGTGTTAGAACTACACCACCCTTTGAACAGCATAGTGCTCTGTTCCCTGAGGTTGTTCTCCCTTCCCCCTGGCTCTCCATTCCCTCTGTATCCTTGAACATGTCTGGGGGTAAGGTGTTTGTGTGCATTCCTAGCTCTCAAACCAGCTGTAGATCCTAAAATAGTCCACGTTTGTTCCACCCCCAGCCTCAAGAGTTGTTTCATTTTGATTCTTCTGCCTGTCTTTGAGTAAGAATTAGGGCTACACCCTTCTTATGGTAGGTTGGAGAACCAGGTTATAGGAAATCAGTATTGAACTGTTATGAACATCACCAGAAGAGGAACAGGATTCCTTACCGGAACATAGAACAGTGGTTTTCTACCGTATCAAAATCAAGACACCCCTCATTAGATTCAAGGCAGGCAAGGTTTTTTGGTTAGGTGTGATATCTTTTATTAGACCAACTGAG